TTCAAGATGTATCTTCATTAATTATAAGAATGAGATACTTAAAATAAAAATAAAAATATATATATATGATAGAAGTCGTATACATGAATGTAAAAGATATCAATTAATTTTGTTGAAAGATATCTATAAAAATATTAAAAATAAAAAATAATTATATAGTTGTATATAAAATAATAATAATATAAATATACAAAGATTTAGATTTAAATAAAATTCTTATAGATATATATATATGTTTAAAATATTTTATATATATATATATATATATATATATATATATATATTCTATTAATATATCACACATATATATTTAAATTTCTTTCATGCCCATTAGTATACTAATTGTTAGGATTCATGTTTTTTTTATTTTTCATTGCAACTCTTCTATTACTATGGTATAATAGTGATACTATGGAATGGCAATAGTGCTTATAAAATTGTATCTAGGTATATTTTTTTTATTTTTTTATTTTTTTATTTTCAACTAACTTAGCTTTGTAATTGAATTCAATATTATTAACTAGAAGCTTATTTTATTTGAAATTCACAAAAAAAAAAAAAAAAAAAATGATGAATTTGTCCTTGCAGCTATAGACTCTAAATATACAACTTGTAGATTAAGGCGCACTTGAAGCTATTGTAATGTATTACAATTGCAAAGATGAAGTTACTTTAATGGTCCAAAGTGAAGAGAAAACTACTTTGAAGTTAAAATAGAGCAATGTGCTCCTATGCATTCAAATTCAAAGATAATATATTTTTGGTTATACACCTTATTTGAATATTTGGATTTAATTATTATATTTTTATCCTTATTTTCTAAATTAATTTTATAAATAATTCAAGCTTATCCTTTATTTTTCATAATTATCAAATACATTACTATTGCAGACTTCAAGTATACAATCTATTCAAATTGTAACTTGTCTTTCAACATATAATAAAGCATGTTCATCTTCTTATAAAATGCAAGAAATTACATGAGTAACTTGATTAGGTCCATATTGTGGGTGATCACTACTATCTAATCTTTTTTTTGCTCAATCATGTGTATGATATGGTTATTTTATTCAAATTGGTACTTTAAGTGCTTAACAACCTTTATTGCATAGAAGGGAGTAGAAATCTTAGAAACTTTTAACAGAGGAGCCATCAAAAATAAAACTTTGCTTTCATTACAATAGCTTTAAATTTTATTTTTGTATAAAAGTATATATTTGTTACTAAATTTATACATTGGATGAAATATTTTATTATACAAATAAGCTAATCATTGCTACTATGGTACAAAATTAATATATAAATTCCACAATGAGCTAAACAAGGGCCATATAGAGCACATACACATCTATCTTGCATTGTGCTACATGAAACATATATATACGCAATACTATCTTTTTAATCTCAAATTAATTGTACATTACAAATAAGTACATCAAACTTTTCTTATGGCTTTTATTGTTATGAATGTTATTTACCAATGTCATTGTGTCTTTAATTGATTGTTTTTGTTTCTTTCTGTGACTTCTATCATGATTGTTGTTCAAATTATTGTGATTTTTGTCTTTAATGGATTTTTATTGTAATTTTTGTCATTATAAAAATAAATTTATTATTTGATGTGCCTTGAATAATAAAAAATTAATTGTACACATATGTCTCCTATTCCAAGATGTAGCAAAGTCAAAATGATAAGATTGGCTTTTACATTCATATAGAGAACGAATATAAGTCAAAAACATGAAAAATAAATATAAGTCAAAAATATGGAGAATGAATATAAGTGAGTAGGACATGATACCACAATATAATTATAGGTAAGAGAAGGTTGATGGTAGAATTAAGGAGCTGAATGGCTTCTTTAGCTTGAGTAAGTGAATTGAGAAGTAAGTCCATTTCAAGATGTAGCATACATATATGATATTTTTTTTGTTAGGAGAGACTTAAAAAATATATTTTCATTTATATCTATACTAAAAATATGCTGTAATTGAATATCTTTACTAAGAATTTTTTTTTAGTGAAATCATATTATATATCAACATATTTTTTGTAAGAATGAAATTTTGGATTTTCACTTAGTGTAGTAGTGCTTTGATTGTTGCTATATATAAGAACAAGAGAAAATTGTAGAAGTCCTAATTCATATAGTAATTTTTATAGCCATATAACTTCAGTAGTAGCTTTAGCTAATGCCATATACTCAAACTTTATAGAAGATAAAGCAACATTGATATGTTTTTTACTACCCCATAAAATTTAATTTCTAGCTAGAAGAAAACAATAGTCATATGTAGATTCGAAAATGTGTTTATTACTAGCTCAATTGGTAATAAAAAAGCCATTTAAAATATTAACATAGGCTTGCTTTTGATATTTGATGCTACATGTAAATGTATCCTTAATATATTATATAATACATTTTAAAGTCTAAATATATGATAAGTTGGTACATGATAGATATTTAGCCAAACTACTTATTATGTAGGCACAATTTGGTCAAGAATTAATAATAGCATGAATTAATTTATCAACCATATATGAATAAGGATAAGAGAATCATAATTCTTTAATTAAATGCCAGCTTTCATAGGTAAAGTTATTGAATTATAATTGAACAAGTTGTATTCTTTAAGCTTAGAAACCAAATATTTTTATTAATATAATTTAATCTAATCATTGGATTTATTTCTAATAATAGAATATTTGATAATATAACAAATTTTTTCTTTATTTATTATTTTGAATTCTTAATGAATAATATCTTTAATAACTTAAATTTTTAAAATATATTACTAATGATAATACAATCGTCAATATAAATAGTCAAAATAGTCAAACTACCATCACTTTCTTTCTTAATGTATATATTAAGATTAGCTTCAAGTTTGATTTATTTATGTGAGGTTAAATATTAATCAAAACAAAGATATCACATGAAAGAGGATTCTTTCAAGCCATATAATGATCTTGAAAGTATACAAATTAAATTGATATTAATAGATAAAAATAAGCCTTGAAGAATTGAAATATAGAATTCTTTAGATTTAAATAAAACCCATAGCAACTAAATTTGCTTTATATTTTTTAATGGTGCTATCAACATAGATTTTAGTTTTAATAACTTTTTTAGAATTAATTAATATTTTATTAGAATGAAATATAATAAACTTATATGTTAGATTTCTTTCTAAAGATTTAAATTTATTATTAATAGTAATTTACTATTATTTATAATTAAGTCGTTTTATAGCTTTTTGGATTATTATAAAGACATCTAAAGATGAATAGGCCATATTGGCTTGATGGTCTTCATGGTGATGAGGATGAAAACAAGATTTCTGTCTTTTAGAAGAAGATTTATTTTGAATATGCTCAAGGTACTTTTGTATGGATTTAAATTATTCTTTAGGTCTAAAAAAATTAGAAGATTTATTATTGAGAGTTCTTATATCTAAATTTATTCTTTTATTTGCATGATGTAAAGCTAATGTATGTAAAGTATTAAAAGAAAGTTGAAAAATAAAACTCAATAAATATCATTTTTATGAAAGAAATTTCATAAAATTTCTTTATTAAAATAATATTTTGATGATGATTAAAGAAGCAAAGATTTTGATTGTTAATTGAGAGGTACTAGTTGTTCTAGGATAGATACATAATACTTGTTAGAAATAATAGAAAGGTGTTTTAATAGAGCACGATTAATTATTTCTTATGCATCTTATTTGAAGGTGAAACATAGATGTAAAATGATATTTTTATTAAAAATAAAATATAAAAAAATGACTTGAGATATAATAATTATTTTTTATGTAAATTCATGAGATGATAAGTTTTTTTTTTCTTTACTATAACCTAAATAAGTAGCCTCAAGTGAATGAGAGTCTAACTTTTTTTTAGTTTTCTTTTGAATGAAGACATAAGCTTTATTGCCAAAGATTTCAAAATGTGAAAGATTAGATTTTTTATTAAATCATATTCCAAAAGGAATTTTGATGATCAATATGGCTTTGATAGAGCTTTGGTTTTAAAGATGGTTAGTTATAATAAGTACATCATTCCAAAAGAGTTTGAATAAAAGAACATAAGCTAATATAGATAAAAATTTTGCCACCAACATCTGATTTTTTTTTCTTTCTAAGATGTCATTCTCTCATAGTATGTAGATTGTTGTAAATTCTTATTTTATGCCTTCATTTATTTTACAGAAGTCTTAGAAAACTAATGAAAGATCCATATAATAGTGACAAACTTTGCATCAAAGATAAAATTGCTTAATCATCTGAAACTAGACACCTTATTACAAACAATTCATTAAGATGTAATTTAAACATATGAATATGTTTTATTATTCTTTTATTTTTATTTTTTTTATGAATGTGTAATTTATCTTTAAGATACATTCTTATAATTGCATCTTGTGCTTCAAATACACTTTTTAATTCTTTCCATGTGTCATTTGATGTCTTATATAATTATATATGGTAGATAATATTATTTTCAATGTAATTATTGATGATTGATAAAGATAATGTATCTTTGTCCTTCTATTGACTTATACTTTGTGCTCCTACAGTAGACAAAGGTGGAATACTAATAGCTATTTTTAATGAAGTTGGTATAATTGGTATGGATTCACTACCAATGACCATTGACCACAATCTTTCTACTTTGAAAACTAATAATAGTTGATGTTGCCAATTGTTAAAGTAAGATCCATCAAACTTAGAAAGATGGTTAATACCAACCTTATAAGTCAACTTTAAGAATAGGATTTTATTATAAGATAAAATCTAAGTTTCTTTATAAATTTGAAAATATTGTTGAAAATATTTTTATGTTGATTGCATTTATGGGTAATATTTTGATTTGTGTAGAGTAAGAATTATCTTCCATAAAATGAAAGATTGAAAACTCAACACTAACTATTATCTTTACATCAAATTGTTGATATGTAAGCATTTTCATATGATTTTAAATTATAACAATTCTATATGAATGAGTAGAAATTTTAAAATAATAATAATATCAATACATGAAAGTTTGAACTTAAATAACATGCTTATAGACAGGTCTCTTCAAATCACTATATACAACTATATATACATATATATACATACCTATCTGCATATTCTACAAATATACTACACATGTATGTAGAAGTTCCCTACAACATCATTCTGATTACATGAAAAAAGTTCACCCATATAACATTGCTTAGGTGGCTTTATTGTCGAGATTAGTAATGGCTCTCCTATCCTCTATCAAGAAGGTGAAGTCATCCGCAAACAGAGAACTATCAATTTCCTAGAAGGCAGAGCTGCTACAATGTGCACACATTGAAAGAAAATGCCTTGCTTATCTGATTTAAGCTTGTAATGTCCTAAATCAGACAACATGGCGTGCACCATAATCGCCCAGGGAGTGAGGGCATTTCTCTTGGATTCTAACAATCAGCCTCTTGCCATCGATGATGGGCAAAAGCATCCAAAGACTAGCTCACAATAAAAAATTTAAAAAAAAACAAAAAAAACAAAACGGGCCCCAACAACAACATTAATATCATAAAGTCTTTCTTCAGCAATTGATGCGCCATGCCCATGAACCAATTCCGTCTCGGCTGTTAACTTGGGATTAACCTGGAGCTTGTTGTAGGCCTACTTTATAGAAGTAGGATGTAAGTGATAGTGTAATTTTAATTGGTTTCGAGGAAGATGGCTGCCCACCTTATTCGACGACGGGATTACTTCTGTAAGAGCTCAATTTTCAATGAAACTAGTGTGATGTACAAAAATGATCTGAGGATTCGTTACGAAAATATGACCGAGAACCAAGAAATGCCAACACCATGACCCAGACTGTATCTCAAGGATTGCGATAGTAGTTGTTATGAAGTTGAAACCACTCATTACAACACCATCTCAAGTCACATCTGAGCAAGACCATCTGTCAGAAGAGAAACACAAGCACACAATCTGCGTCGACGGAGAGTAACATATGTGGATGGACACTAGGAGGACATTGACAGTGAACTTGAGAGGTGTCGAATGCGAGTCGATGTCGTGGAATATCTAACATAGAAGCAAAGCTAACTTAGAACCCTAAAATCATTCGCTAATTCATTCTTACCTGTCACTGGAAAGAACAGAATTGAAGCTGAAGACGGATTTGCTGGTTCCATGATCTTTCCCAAGGCTCTACCACCTTGAGCTTCATAAGGCGCTCTTCATCAAATAGCATGTGTGGTGTAGACTTTGTTGCCCTTGAAAGCAGCCATTGTTCATCCCTGTGCGATACTTGTCATGTGAGCCTGTTCTGTTTTGCATCTGACTTAACCTTTCAGGCTCATCTTCGGAGGTATATTTTCAAAGTCTATCTGCAACTGTTTCTGAACTTCTTGTCAACAACGTTTGGAGACTCGTATACGTAGATCGTGTAAAAACATAAGCTGTATGTTCTTGTAGCGTAAAACGCAGATCCAGCAAAATGTCGCAATGCATTATCGTCTTGAAAGTTGAAAACAGCTGACTACGAGAGGTTATTTTACTTGAACAAGGCTCAATAGTGAGGCTTTGTATAGACAGTAAGCAAAAGTGATTCCTTCTCATACCAAACCACAAATGCACACAGAAGAGTATCATTCACAACGCCTCTCTACTTTGCATGTTAACAACATCAAAAGTCTCCTTCATTGGATAGCCCAGCCAATCTTTAGCATCTCCAAAAACTAAAAGTCGTGTACCTGTCCAGGAAGGAGACTTTTTACAGAGGTACAATATTTCATTTTACACACAGATCCTGAAGCTCAGAAATGCAAGTCAAAAGCTCATGAGGCATTGTACACAAGAATATGACGATGAGGAGATATCTTGGCCACATGTGAACCAGGTAAGTAAACATGAAAGTGGTAGCTCTATCAGCGCATGCTCAGTTGTGCTTAATGTATTAACCCTGAATTTTTGCATTTAAACTCATGTTCTAAGAAGCATCTTAAGCATCTTAAATACGCACATGAGCATTTATACTTGAATGAATCCACATGGTTTCTAAAGCGGTTGCTTACCACAACTGCCATCTTCATGCTGTATTTACTAATGTCGATTATCACAAGGTTGGAACAATTAATTTGTTGAAACTACTGAGCGCCTCCATCTTGTTTGACGTCTTCACAAAAAAGAGGAAATTCTGTTAGTATATTTACAATTTAATCCATTTTGTTATTCTTCCCATTTAATCCATTTACTACATACTGAAGCTTCAGTAAACTTTTGCTCAGTTGTACTTTGACATTGTTATGATTATTATTATTATTATTACAACCACTATAATTGTTGTTGTTGTTTAAATCCACCTTTCAATTGTGTATATTTTATTGTAATTCAATATAATATTTTTCTATTATTAATTGGAAATTATGATACATATATTTATTTATTTATTTATTTATATATATATATAGTATATGTTCTCGTTCTGAGCCTTGTTCACACGGGCGGATGCTGGTCGACAAGTTCAGAGTTGATCGGATTTGCAATTCTGGACGGAATGCCACGTCAACAGACGATGAGAAACTATTCATCCGTTTTATTTTCATCTCCATCTCGTCGGTGTCTTATCCTTCTCCGTGGAAACAGAGCACTCCTGGAACTTGGTTGCTTTCGCTTCAGCTTGAGCGTCCCTTAATAAATCACTCTCAAATTTCAATTGCAGGGTCGCGATTACAGTGTAGCGAGGGGAATCGAGACTTGGAGGAGCAGCAGCAGCAGCAGCAGCAGCTATGGCCATGTCTTCCGCAACATTCTCTCCGTTGCCGATCTCATCCTCATGGCGATGCTCCGCCGCTGAGCCGAACAGCAATGCCACTACCTCCAGCAACGCTACCATTCCTCGGAAGCTGCCGCAGCTGACAGTGTCTGCGTCGCAGCCATTGTCGATTAACAATGGAGATGCATCGGCTATGTCTGTGCTTCACCCCGGTCTGGAGCATGTCAATGTCATGTACTTTAAGGGCACCTACAATACTCAGGTCAGTGCATTGTGTCGCAGCTTGCTCTTCGGAAGCTTTGTTTGGTCAATGAATTCTGTGGTGTTAGGGTGTGGAGCGTGCTGTGGTAGTGAAGGAATTGAACTGAGGTGTCCGAGGTGGCCTCGGTGTGTCTGCTCTGCTGATACTGATTCTTTCCGTTTGGATATTCAGGTTTTTGTCGGAGAGGATGAGCCGGCTGACTCCGTGGTGAGAAGGTTCAGGAAAGCCGTTATGGCCACTGGAGTGATCCCTGAATGCAGGCGCAGGAGGTACCATGAGACTCCACAGGATATCGTGAAACGCAAGCAGAAAGACTCCCATCGCAGGAAGGCGAGGTACTTTGACAACTCCATTTCTTGTTCTATGACTATACCTATTTGTCTTGTTTTTGTGGTTAGAAACTCTGGTAGCTTCAATAACACCTAAGTTGATAATTTCTCCCGTTTCACTATAATTTCTGGCTACAACAGCGTGCATTCTTCATAAAATTAGAATTGTGTTAAGTGGTCTATGTTTTTTGCTGTGTCTGCTTGCTTGCACGTTCGTGTGAAACAGAAATTGTGACTGCTCATCTCGTGACCTAATCTCAGAACCCGAACATTTGGGTATTAGGATTAACTACGCTTGATTACGAAAATTTTAAATATGGTATGCCACTAATCGTTGTTTATTTAATTAATCCTATGGTCGGTTCAGGGAAGCTTCACCTCAATTTTGAACCTTGTCACCAGTCATAACCTCCGTATTTCTGATGATTTGGAACTCTATTCCTGAATTTTTAACTGTATTGTTTTACAGCAGCCGAAGGTTCAATGGGCCTCGACCTGAGGGAGGATTCGGTGATAGAAAGGAAACTTCTGCCGCTTCAAGTGACGATGACGACTTCTGGGGTTATGCCGAAGAGGGAGCAGACACCAATTTGTAGAAACTCCTTGCAATTGCAATTTACCATGATTTGGCGCAACCGTGCTTGCCATTTATGAAACGAACGAAATTTCATTAGATTCCGCTCGAAATTTTGGTAGGCCTACAAGTATTCTATCGTCGATTTTATTCCTGTCTTAAGAAAATCATCGAACTTAATCTCTTGAATACCTGATCACCATGTTCCCAAATTGGAAGACTTCGTAAAGTCGGTCGTGGTAGACATTTGCTATTTTTAGTTCGGTCCTTGGCGATACTTGTGATTACTATATCAGTCTGCCGTTGTATCATTTTCATGTCGTAATACCTCCACTGCGTCGTCTACACATCTTTCGTTTAAGGTAATGACATTTTCTGAATTAAGATGTTTGGTATTTAACTGAAATGTTTCTGGACAGCAGAATGTTTACTAATCATACCCACTACATTAAATCTTGCAATCTTCTGTTAGCAGAGGACCGGTTCTTACCTGCATTTCCACGATCTGGGTGCCGCCCACAAAGTACCTATTATACAGCACAATTAAATAATAGTGGTGTACATTTTGTTTCCCCGCATCTTGCGGATTTACATTTGAACACATTTGATTCCGAATGACCCCTCACAACCAAAATAGTTTATCGATGACCATGTCAACCATCTCAGATTGTCTGCACTTGTTAGCTTGCAGAACCGCGTTACCAGTGTGCGGAGTAGCCTTCAAAGTTGCGTAGATGTACATCTTGACAATCAGTTTTGGCATGGTAGCTGTAAAAGAAGAGAGGGATCTAGAAGACAGAGGAAGCTGAGAGCAATGAGGAGCCGACTGAAAGACAAAAAAATTCGAAATGTTAAAACAGTTCTCCACTCAAACCGACCGAGAAGACGGACGACAGAGAGTAATCTACTTGAGTGTGACCATACGCCTCTTAAAAGAGTCATGAATTTCTCAGCAATTGAGCGAATTTCATCTTTCCATCTGGTATTTGACTGAGATGACCTAGCACTTCTTGAAACTCCGCACGGGATTTAGTTGTGTTGTTTTCGCAGGGTATAAAGTTTTAGATAAGTACTCAATCCTGCAGAGAAACATAGACTTACACTGGGAAGAACTAGAAATTGGTCTCAGATAAGCAACAATAGCAACATAAATGCTCGTAAATGACAAGTACGCTTGCGCCAAATCACATGAAAATACGAGCTGTGAACATAGGGTAAGATCACCACATGGGTCAACAAAAATGTATCTGGTAGCTTGATATTGAACTCAAAGCAGGAACTCTGCAATTTTAAGCACAGGTTGAAGATGTTTGTCAAGAGACACTATTCAAGGCGGCATAACAACCTCTGGGTTGAAATTATTGCACCCTTCAATAGCCTATAATCAATAATTCCCGACTAAATATTCAACTTGAGATCTGACTATTGCTAAATTTAGGCGTTCCAAGACTCTGGAAAGACCGGCGATAGAGGTCACTACTAACTTCCTTGGGTGTGCCATGAGCAGCTACTACTATTACTGCCGCCTCGATAGAGCATAAAACGTTGTTTCTAGTCATACACAGTTGACCTCTGCATCAATATATGCGAATCAAGGTAAATGAAATGATGAAGTCTTTCTCACTTTACCTATTGTCTGATCTAAATAACTAATTTCCAACCCACCAATTTCAGTAAGGAAATAAGAATCGATTTACTCATTGTAGTGGATACCACCCACTTTCCATACTAGAAACGCCGTGCCTAACATAAGCCCTATAATTAACAAAAACGAGAAGATTAAAAAGATATCACCCGGTCTCAAATTGAATGAAAACTTATCAGCGTCTTTCTCCTCCTGAGTCTGCCTCACGTCGTCAAATATGTTCTTGGGTACGATGGGTTGCCCAAATTTAGTCGTCTTCCCATCCTTCTCCCCCTGTTTGAAAGCATCAAGGACCTGGATCACAAGAATATACCACTCTAGGTTTAGCAATCAAAAGAAAAGGACAATCTCTACGTCAAACTTCGTAGTGGTTCCGTTTACACTGAAGTATAAGGGAAGAATATAAATGTCGCAAAATACACCAACTGTTCAGTGACAAGTAAACTTCTCAGTCCGGAGACCCATGCCACCGACAATTTCTTAAATAGTATGTTCGCTAGGGCAAGCATATTTCAGTGATGTAATTAGCAGTGCCACAAATGATTACTGCTTAGGACCTAAAGAAACTGCTGTAATGAATACAGACATCATGATTGCGTGCTATGGTAATAAACAGCACAAAGAGGTACAGACCAAAACTAGTACAACTATCAAGGTCCATGGTTTATATTTGAAGAAAAAAAAAATACAAAAAATACAAAAAATACAAAACTATGTGTAGTACATTCTAAATACTCGGAGCGATACCCTCACAAGCAAGATGCAAAAGAACAAGTACCTGCTTTCCAGAATTTATCATTGTCCGCCCTGAGCTAGTTCGATTATATTGGCTGGGGGGAGACGCCATCTGCGATTTCAATCTATCAGCTGCAAATGGTGACACTTTTCCAGTAGGGAAAGGGCTATCAGATCCGTCATCGAGAGGAGACTTTGGGTTCACAGTAAATGCTGGTTTAGCAGCAGGGGCTTTCACAAACACTGATGGTGTTGCCGCGGAAACTGGCTTTGGAGCCGACTTTGGGGAATCCGTTGCTGTAGTTGTTGGAACAGCAGCAGCTTCTTTTGTAGCCGGAGAGACTGAGCTCTTCCCATTCTCAGCTTGCTGGGATTGTTGCGATGCGATCTTTGATGAAATTTTCCCAGCTGCAAATGGGGATGGGTTTGAGGTCCCTGAAGAAGTGGACTTCTCGGTTGTGTTTGCTGGTTCTTTCTTTTCTTCTTCACCTTCTACTGCTTGATTTTCACCGCTTGAGGCCCTGAACCTAAGATGCCGGACAGTACCCAAGTTGTTATTTGAGGATGTCTGCACCAAAAAATCCCACAAATCAAGCATGTGAGACATATCTTCGAGTTCAGTTCAACTGCAGGGCATCATCAAACATCTGCAATATAGCCGCCGCGTTCAAACTACCTAGAAACCTATTTATTGATATAATTGTGGAATTTTGGATGGTCACACAAAACGTTCAAATAAAATGCTGAATCCTTTGAAGGACTGAAACTCACGATATCTTATAATTTTGGAAACCCACAACAAAACTTCGTGAATTTATTTAATGTCGACAGGTCTGGTGCGCAAAGGAATTTGGCAGTTGTAAACTGTGTTTCTGTATCCGCACCATACGAATTCACAGTCCATTGTGACAGTTCATTCTCGCAACTACTACGGACATAGACCTGCTTCATGGAATCATTATCACCCGCAATTTTTAAAAAGTCCCCTCGACTACATCACGACAATACCAACTTAAAACAAATGTATCACAAAACCTCCGCAGGGGTTTGTGAGGACACGTTCAAATAGACGATTAATAATCGACACGCCGACGAATTCAAACAACAAGGAACTCACCCGGCTTACAGATTGAGAGAGAATAAAAGGACTCTGTTGAAACCGACGAAGAGCCCGCACTGAGGCGAGTCGCAATTTCCGCTGGTCAATAGATAGCGAGACTTCGAAAGAACCAATAACGGGGGCACAGTCACCACAGAAACCTGACACTGAAGGTAACGAACTCCCACCTATCTGCAACAAAATGCAGCGAGACATTACGTGAGATTCCACCCCAAAATCTTCACACTGCACAAACCGCTCTCCTTAAGAGCGACTCCAATTTTTTTATAAAAAAATCGAATACAGGTTCGTGAATTCGCACCGGGGGAGTGCACAGCGAGGTATGGCGCCCCATGCTCAGAGCAGCGCTCGCCATAGCCAGCGCAGCAGAAGCAACAACAACACCAACCTGGTGCCGTTCACCTCAGCTCCGCTCGATTCAACTCAACCCTCCCCTGAAAAAACACAAACAGTATTTTAAAATCAAAGGATTGGGAGAAGAATGCAATGCCTGTAGTAGTAAAAGACAGGCGTAGAATGAGCAACGGCGGTGCTGAGGAATGAGCGAGCAAGCGCTGGTTGAAAACGCAGGATCGCACGCGGCCATGGCCACAGTGCCAGCCATAGCGATGGCGAGAGAGAGGATATGGAATTTCATCCACATATATGGATGGTGACGAATGCTTACGTTCGTTCGAGTGTATGTGTCCACGTAGGCACGACGCTGTGGCGTGTGAACAGGGTTAAGCGATTGATATTAATTGTTATCATCCATCCGTTGTCCACGTGGATGAAGTCATCGCTCACGTTGGCTGTTGGCTGGGTGCAAATATCTAAAGCTTTGATTATGTGTTTTTCATGTATTGTATGTTATTTATTTATTTATTTATTTATTTATTTATATTAAAAATATATTATTTTCTTTTCTTTAAGTAGTAGAAAAATTTAGCCTTGGCTTCCATATTCGTTGGCTAATATTAGTTTACATTAATATTCAAGGCTTTCATGGAATTTGTGGAAGATTAAATGCTTTTAATTTGAATGTTTTTTCAGTCAAATTAATCTAATAATAATGTTCATTATAAACATATCAGAATATTATTCAAAATATTGATTTATTAAACTTGAGATGACACTGCGTTTGGTCCTAAATCAGTATAGTTAATATTACCAAATATTGTGAAAATAATGTTTGGTGAGATGATGTTTTGAAAATAACTCATTTGAATAATATAGTTTTCATTAAGAAACAAAACGGACATTATAATGATACAAAGAAATCTACATTAATAAGGAGATTCTAAAAAATAACACAAAAACTCAAACTACTTGAAAATAGTTACATTAACCAAAATATTTGACATAAACGTACTTTACAAATAGTACTAACAAAAAGCAAAAATGAACAACAATATACATGGTTGCAAGAAGTGCTTTGACTTCCATTGATTTTTTTAATTTGTAAGAAGATTACCATCTATATTAGTAAATTTTCTTGAAATTGGGGTATCTAATTATATTTTTTTTTGAAATTCTTTTACTTGCCATAACAATAATAATCATAATATAATTACTTTAATATAAAATGTGAATTATATAATTTTACACCTCATTTTTTATGCATATTTATCTTAGAGTATTTGACTTTTTACACCCAAGTAATATGGACTTTCTAAATTTGGATATTTTAAGGTACATAATTGCATGTCCATATACAACTTCTTTTACAAGATAAATAAAAAATTGATTATAGAAGAGTGATATAATTTTTTTTTTGAAATAGTCAGATTTAAAGACTCGATTTTAACACTAACTATATATATATATATATATATATACAGAAATATATATATTTATTCAACATGAAAATAAAATATTTATTTATTGTTAATTAGCATACATAAAAATAATAGGAAATAGGTTCTAAATTTTAGCTACACCGCCTAATGACTTACAGGACAATTTTTTTTTTATGATTCATAGAATCACAGAAAAAAGAATACCATTTCTACAGTAGTATTTAAACTCTTTTTCATGTATTTTATTTGCTTAAGAAAAAAAAATAAGAACCGAATAAGATTTATTTGTATTATTTGAAAAAATCACATACTATCTTTTTAACATTAGTTTTTAGATCTTTTGAGAATCATGTTGTACATGGTAAGAGAAATGACCATTGTATCATCATTTGCTAGATCTGTCTTCCTAAGAATTTGGCTAATTAAAAGGGTCACACCACGTTGTTGTACAAGTCACCACCATCTTTAGTAGTTCATGACTTCTTTAAAATGTTTTATTAGTCCAATTATGTATAAAACAATAATAATAAATGGTTAGAGGACTTTTCTCTGCATTCTTCTGTGAAAATACAGGGAATTACTAAATGCCAGTCTAAAACATCTTCAAGACATTTGACATATTTTGAAGAAAACCGAGTGATAAAAACTCACTAACAATCATCATTTTTACCACAATTGTTCAACAAATATTTATATATATATATATATATATATTGTAACATATTTGATAGAACAAAAAAGTGAAACACAACAAAATCTTACAACAACTTGACAAAAGATCTGATGTACAGCAAGGATGTTTACGGCAACCTCAAAAAAAAAAACATTCGGATTATTGAAGAAAGTAGCAAAGCTGGATGCACCTAATCACACGCAGTACACACAAAAAAATGAACAGTCCTGGCACTCAACACCACACAAGAAAATGAACCACGGAACCCACAACAAAATGGGCAACAACGAGAAACAAACGGCGAAAGGGGGAAGGAAACAAGCAAGCAAGCAAGCAACTAGCTTTGGAAGAAGAAGAAGAAGTCCACAAAGACACTCGACGTGTGCTAAGTGAGAGAGCTAGCACATAATCCAGGCCACCCAACAAAACGGAACTGGAGAAAGAGAGAGAAAGAGAGATTGAGAGAGAGAGGGCAATGCAATGGAGTGAGTGAGTGAATGAGTGAATGAATGAATGCGTGGGCCCTTTATTCTTCTACGGTAGTACCCTCTCTCCCCCCCCTTCTTTAGAGCAGTGGTCAACATTTTGCAGGAACAAAATATCAGCAGCAGATGTTGACTGGATATGCACAACCCCACCCACACTCACTCACTCACCCACTCTCACTCACTCACAATCAGCAGCAGCAGCGTCACAAGCACACCCAGCGGAGGAGGAGAGGGTTAAGATTAGCATTTGTAGTAATGTCAGTAAAATTAGCAGCACTAGTAGTAGTAGTAATGCAATGAAATGCAATGAAGAAGAAGAAGGAACCACGAGCTGCGCTCACAGCCCTCCTCCTCCTCCTCCGAAGTGGACTGACTCACTCGAAGCCAAGTTGGACATTCTGACACCCACCCCACCCCCACCCACCATTGTCTGCATGCGGTAGAGAACGCCCTTTCTGCCATTGTGGCATGTGATCCGTTGAGTTAGGAAGAGGAGTAGGGAAGAGTAGGGACGGTAGGAGGGAGGGCGGGGAACATCTGTCATTACAGGCCCAACTTGCGAAACCGGACACAACAACAACAACGTGAAGCAGATGGATATGTCCAAAGGAGAGACGAAGCAGGAGACGGAGGAGGAAGAAGAAGGATGCACAAGGGAAGGGCGGTTGAAAAGTAGGGCCTCCTCACCGGCCAGACACCAAGTGAGGGGGGGGGGGGGGGGAGGGGTGGGGCTGAGACACTGACTCGTGGGCAGTGATCCCGCGAGCTGCGCGGTCAAATTCCGCAACCCCACAAAACCTCTTGTTCCCTGCTACTGTTACTTACTGTTCCTCCCCTCACTTCTCGTTGATGAATTCCATAACGTGCCGTGGACACCGCCTCCTCCTCCCTCCCTCCTCCTTCGTCACCCTCCTCGTAGTTTTGGCTTTGCCTACTTTGGCTGCACAAACCCAAACCCATCACACACTTGTGTGTGTGTGTGTGTTTGGTTGCCACTGCCGGGAGAGCAAGTGCGGCGAGTGAGGGTATGAATTGATTGAGGAGGAGGTGAGTTGTGGTGGGACATTGGTGGTGCAACAGAAGTGCGTGTGAGAAACAGGTGAGAATTGGGGGTGGAGATGGCGGGGAGGGGGGTTCGGAGGGTTGGGGATTTTTTTCAGGCGGGGAAGTGGGTGGAGTTTCGACTTGGGGGGTTTGGGAATCGAGATTTAATTTTGTTAAAGTTGTTTCTTCCCTTTTTAATTGTTATCGGCAGGTGAGTGGTCGTTGATTTGACTTGCCGGGCGAGTGAGAAAATTCGGTGGGAAACCTAGTGATTTTGGGAGAATCGCCCCTACCCTAAGTGTTGACGATTTGTGAGCTCGGTTGAACTGGAAGCTTACAAGTTACAAATGAACGCGCTGGGTTTTTTGATTTTTCGTCGGTGGTGTTTAGATTTGAGGTTTGGTCGCAGTAGCGAGAGGTGTGGTAGCGGTCCTTCTGTACGGTTTTTCTAGGCGATCTGTTTTTTTGGTTTCTTTTTGTGAAGTCGCTTGGATTAGGTTTCAGTTTAGAAGAGGCAATTACTGGAGTCAGATTGCGGCCTTGGCGATGAGCCTGGACTAGTGACTTCTTTACAGCTGGTCTGCCTGTGTGTATAGCGAATTTCCCGTTTGTGTCGGTGTGCTACTGAGACTGTGTACTTGGGGGATCTGGCGGCTATTTTCGTATGCAAATTCAGTTGTCTTCTGTTGTAGAGTGGAAGTTGCTCCTCAAGGTTTCAATCAAAACTCTTAGTGAAGCTGAATTGCCGCTTTTCAATTAGACTTACTCGCTCTTACCGACTCATTCATACCGAGATTTGGATCGTAGTTGCAGTGTCAAGATCTCACTTTTTGATGATTAATCCTGAATGGAAAAATAATATAGTAGCGGAATCCGAATGGACTTCTGAACTTATGCATGGCAGCTCCTACACCTTCCCAACAAACATCTTCTTCAAATCACGACCACGTGGGTGGCAAGTCTAGTTTTCAACTTTGAGAGTATCAACATATTACGTAAGAATGAAAAGCGTGTTCCCCGTTTTCTTGAAACATCTTGGTGTGGTCACTGTCTATATCTGACGCACACCTGATCGTAGCATGTAACGGAATCCTTTAAAAAGCATATTGTCTCGTAATAGGTTTCTTTAAAATAGTCTCTGGTTAATCTCTTCATGCTTTCTCGGAGCCTTAGCAAATTTGCGAGTTCTTGTTTCAGGGCTTTAGGAGAGAATTGTCCCAGTCAGGTTTTGGTTGACCTTATTCGAGCAGATATCGGATTCGAATCTTCTGAGTCCACAAAAAGCTTGGAACTGATTCTTGGCTTTGTACGAAAGTGTATGATTCTTCGTAACTTTGATTTTTCTTACATTAGTTCCTTTTTTGTTTGGTGCAGGTTTGAAACCGTTCAGTGAGAGAGTTGAAGTTCTCATGCATAGAGAAGACCAACTGATGGAGCATGCAGGTTATTAATGTGGATTTAATACCATGGGGAATAAGATTACTCGCAGACGTCATGTGATTGACGAGCGTTATACTCGTCCCCAGGGTTTGTACCCTCATCGTGATGTAGATCAAAGAAAGCTTCGCCGCCTCATTCTCGAGTCCAAGCTCGCTCCCTGTTTCCCTGGCGAAGAGGAGTCTGCTACGGACCTCGAAGAATGCCCAATCTGCTTCCTGGTGCGTCTTGATTGTCATTCCCAGGAGCTCTAAAATCAGCAATTAAGTAATCTTACACACGTTGCCTTTCATCTATGGCGAGGGCGTTGTTGATATTCTTAAGACTTAAATGAATAAATTTAGAAAGTAGGGTAGATGTGGTTATGGTTTTGTTTTGTTTTGTTTTGTTTCGCTTTTTGTTTTTTTGTTGAACGGGTTGAGCTAACAGGATAAGTTTCTGGGATGTTCAATTGCAGCATTATCCGAGTTTGAATAGATCCAAGTGTTGCACGAAAGGAATATGCACCGGTACGTAATTATTTAAAGGAATCTGTCTGCATGATTTCGCCCATTGGAGACTTGACGGTTTGGATAAATCACCGATCAGAATCATGTTTTAAAACATGTTGTTTACGACAGTATGCATTGAAGCACTGGTAGTCCTGTTATCCCCTCATTGTACCTGTTTTAAGGAGCAAATTGGTATGGCTGCAGAGTGTTTCTTGCAGATGAAGTCTCCGCATACTGCCCGGCCAACACAGTGAGTGATGTTCCATCTCATTTTTGTTTCAACCATTCGTCCAGCCAAGATGTGCCCCGAATTTCAGTCATGCGTAACTTAACTTTTTAATACACTGCCTTCAATACATTCATTGCTGTGTCTTTCTGTTTCGAAATGGGTCGTCTGCGGTGGGTTGCATAGACTTTAAATTGATGTTGATATTTCTTTTCGACATTGAAGGTGCCCGTTCTGTAAGACTCCCCAATATGCCGTTGAGTACCGAGGAGCCAAGACGCTGGAGGAAAAGGGCATGGAGCAGGCGGTATGCATCTCCACTTCCTTCTCATTCCTAATTCATTAATATATCGAGGGCGGGAATTCCCATGTTATGCATGTATCTGGGCGGCCGTACGGAAATTGACGTAAATCAGAAGCTTCGTTGAAGTCCATTCATAGTTTGTGTGTATCTATGCCGATGTGCAGGAGGAGCAAAAGGTCATAGAGGCAAAAATTCGAATGCGTCGACAGGAGCTTCTAGACGATGAAGAGCGCGTGCAACGTAGGAAAGAAAACATCCGTGCGGGTCGAACCAGACAGCCGACTCCTCGAGCTCAACCCGACACTGATCACGAGATTGCGAGTGCTTCAATAGATGAAATTGATTTTCTGAATTGGTCGTCTGCCAGGGGTAATTCTGATCGTCGGCCACAGGTGAAGTCTTTTACGTGGTCGAAGAAATTTGAGAACAATATTTTGTTTAGAACTTCATACACAATTCGTGCGTACTTGTAACTCTAACGTTGATTGGATCCTGATTTTGGTTGCTGCTCTTCAAGCTCTAAGATTTATCGCTCTTTTAAAAATAGGTCCTTGGAACATCTGCCCCCCTTGAGAGGAATGGCTCACGACTACATCACTATTCCATGTGGGATGAAGATTATCAGAACGTACTGGGTTTTGATGCATATGAACCACTTGAAGAACCAGCGGCACCAATGTCATCAGATGCCATGACTGTACTAAACCGCTATCGAACTGGCTCGGCCCCATCTGGTGCAACCAGAGCACTGCGTAGGTATTAAATTTTCTTCATTAGACACAATTTTTTTTCTTAACCCTTAACCCTACAGCTAGGAGTTTTGTCTTCTTTCACTGCCCTTAGTCTTTAACAAAATCATTACGGGAAACGTATTTCTTTTAAAGGGCATGCTGATCTTTTCATGGGGTGTAGCTCCAAGAAAAGTTGCGCTGATAGTACTGGTGTTGTACCAAATGGGACTGTCTCATATTGTGACTTGCCTTGACGTTGATTTGTGGTTATGTCAGGGATGATGAGCTTGATCTTGACCTCGAGGAAATTATGGTAATGGAGGCAATATTATGGCTTTCTATTCAGGTTTATTCATCTTGATCTGGTCAGCTCTTTGGTTTAATAGTTGCAATAAAAGCCTTCCCTCATGTTTATTTTAGTTTATTCTAGTTTTTGTTACTGTTTTCAAGACTAAGTAACAGAGATTTTGTGGAGCTTTTGTTGTTCTTCTCAGCGTAATATGACAATGTATAAAACCTACCCTCTAACTTGGTAAGACATCGTATGTTCAGGAGGAATTTACTCGGCAGAGATTTTCGGATGGAGAAGCCACTCGATCTGTGCCGAATATACCAACGGTATTGGTAACAGAGAACAATCTCGGCTCCGAGGCAGATGTCTTTACTGTCATTCTACCTCCTCCTGCCCCACCAGTACTCGAATCAGAATCTCTGGACCAGCATTCTGGAAGACAAGGCACATCGGCGGTGGGTCTAGCAGGTTCTATTGCTGCGCTGGCAGAACAGCAGGCTGTTTCCCCTAACACATCAACTTCTTCTCAGCCAGTGGCATCGGGTGTTCTTCCACCTTTATATGCAGACAGCCAAGGAGTAGCTGAGATCTCAAATGCTATTAATGACCCCTCGGAAAATACTGGAAATGGATCAGATAGGCCAGCACGCTTCCAACGTTTTGAGGAGATACCTCGTAGTGGGGGCGAAAGTGTTGTGCAGGAAAGGCCTGTAATGTCTTTAACACCTGGCAGGGGGGAAGATGATGTGGAAAATTCAAGGAAAGCATCTGAAAAACTGGCTAACTGGGTGAGCTCAACGCAGAACAAGTACAGAGGCTCCTCAATGAATGGATTGCTAGGTGATCAAAGCTCGGAACAGGTTGAGGTGGGCACCAGCTTCTCGAGTAGCGTTCCTTCGGCCTCCGACTTACCCTGGGAAGTGTCGGACATTCCGGATTTTACTGGAAACGGAGAGAATAGTGGTGGTACTAACAATGACACGATATTGGTACCGGAGAGCTTTGAGGAGCAGATGATGTTGGCTATGGCACTCTCCCTCGCAGATGCTCAAGCCAGGGCCCGTCACGGAGGCAACCATTCGGGTCCTCTCACTCAAGCTACCCACTTAGCTGATATGCAAGCAAGGATTCGTCAAGGTAACAGCCATTCTGGTCCTCTTCCTCGGCCTACCTTTATTGGACAGTAGTATTTAGGCTTCCTGTGGATTCCTTATGTGGAATCTGAACCTATAAAAGTCAGTATGTTAGAGATGAGCGCTGCATTTAAGTTTCGACCAGACATTTGAATGCCTAGTTTAGTGGATGCTATGTTCAGAGTTCCAGGTTATCCTAACTTGCATCTGTTCATCTTGCCTCCTGTATTATAGATTCGGGACAGGGAATGATGGCTCAATGAGATCATTGCTAGGAATGGGTGATTCACGACCCAGTGCTTGATTTATTGTACCATCTCCCTTGCACTCAAAGATTGCTTGGGCGAGAAGTATTACCCTCCTTTAAGTATCCATTGGTAGTTACTAGATCTGTATAATATTTATCACTCTGGTTCTTTATCTCATTCATTGATGTTTGTGAGCTTTGGTGAATTCGAAGGACTTACATACCATTGTGTTTTTTTGTCTTTTTGTATGGTTTTTTCCAATTTATGCAAATTTGGCATGGTTGCAAATAACATCATCATTTAGCTATAAACTATTAGAAACTTTTCTTTTGTTGGAAAGATAGTAAATTTAATCGTTTGGAGTGGTATACAACAATGACCTTGTAATTGTTGTGACTGCGATATGTACTAATTTTGAGGAGGAAGACATACCGACGCTCAGGCTCACAATTCTTGTTTTTAAACTGTAATTACCCTAAGCAAATATTTACTAGATATGCAGCATGAAGTTGCAGACTGACAAATAAGAAAATAGTACCAACAAAGATTTCGCGAGCTGACCACGCTGATCAGAATTGTGGGGCACTGTAACGGAGAACCGTGAACATTAATGCCTTACACTTTATTACATCATAGTATTAATTACATACACATGTATAGTAACTTCACAATCAGCTTGGTGGAAATCATCACCAAACTTGCACCAACATAACGTTTAATCGGAAATAAGCAAAGGTACAAGTAGCCCTGTTCTACAACCTTCACCTAACTTTTCAACATTATCTGCATGGTCACGGACCTTAAAGTGCAATTGACACTAAGACATGAATATCATCAGCTCCGTTCAAAGCTTGGACATGACGTGGTCCATGGCATCCACCAAAAAGTCTGCATGACACAATGAATGACTTCAGCCACTTTTGGCCAGCACAAATAAAATGGCTTACTAGCTCCGTGTTACAATTTCATACTACTCTTTACATCAACATATTAACATAATTAGTATTGGGAGCAGATGCACTCTCAACTTTTGCATGACAGTGGTAAATTAATTTTTTTTAAAAATAAACTAAGGATAAAACATAATTAACAGAAGACCGAAATAGAAATATTTTCGAAGGGCCCTTGCACACAATGCTACTTAATAGCGAAGTGAAACCATCATCATTTTCGTGGACTAAATGCTCAATTTTATGATTGAATGATTAAAATATGGAAAAGTTCGTAAATTTGGAAGAACATTCTAGTAAATCACGTGATCGAATGAGAATGTAGCACATAAATTATGGACGCGAACGAGGAATGCAGTTGTTCATGTAAATACCGCTTTTGGGATGTAGAGGTAGTTTGAACAAAAATACTACATTGAACACAAGCAGAGAATGGGAATGAGGAACACACCTGCATCTTCCATTGAGAAACACATAGGAGGCTTGATTCTAAAGACATTTCCATGAAGCCCGCCCTTCCCAACTAAAACTCCGAGGTCTGCAACATCCAAAAAGCCTATGCGTAAGTGAATGGTAGGAGTTGCACAGCCCCACTTGCCACCATGTCAAGGAGCAGTACAAAACTTGCTAGTGATACACAGAACTAGGCCAGCCCTAGGTGAAGTGCAGCATCACCTTTCAGTTGCTCAAAAAGAAGAAGAGTCTCTTCTTTCGCTGGAGCCTTGGTTGTTCGGTCTTTTACCAACTCAACGCCCAGCATGAGACCCCGGCCCCGCACGTTACCAATAACTGCATCAAACAAGTTCACCCAAAATCAACTTTCGCTTCTCAGCTCATAGGAGAAACATCTAGAGGATGACAAGAAAGACAAATTTTAAATTCACTGAACATAAAACACCCCTCATTGCTTTCGTGGCTACAGAAAATTTCGAAAAAATCACAAACCAAATAACCACACATCAATTTGAAACTTGGAGTTTCCTGCAAACACTTACTATCATGCTTGTCTTGAAGAGCACGAAGTCGGTGCAAGAGATGGTCCCCGACTGTTGCACAGTGCGCCTGCCTCTTTTCCTTTTCCAGCACCTCTAGCACAGCGTGGCCTGCAGCTGAGCACACAGGATTGCCCCCATATGTGTTGAAATGCAATCGTTGTGCAAGCACTTGTGCAATTTCTGGTGTAGTCACTACAGCTGCTAATGGCAGCCCATTACCGATTCCCTGCAATATAATACAACGATTTGAAATGCGCTGTTCTGATTCACTCCTGACAAGCATCCAAAGCACAATGTACTAAATGCTGTTGTATGGTTAATTAAAAAGAAGCCGAATTTCAGATACTATAACTTCAAAATTCTACAGTGTAAAAGCAATAACGGCACCCATTCTCTAGCAATCAACGAAGTTCAATTTACCGAAGACGTCAGAGTAGGGTAGAAATCTGCTAACCTTAGCAAGTGTAACAATGTCAGGAGTTACACCTTGATTCTGAAATCCCCAGAAGTTGCTACCTGTCCGACCAAAGCCGGTCTGCACTTCATCTGCAATGCACAAGCCTCCAGCCTTTCTCACGATGTCGTATGCTGCTGGCAAGTACCCCGGTGCAAGTTCCACAGCTCCACCCACACCCTGCCGTATGGATCATCATAAGAATTAAAGCGGTAACTTCACGAGGCCCGCGACGATGCTCAGAATCCGATCATATTGCCGTTGGAAAGATATTCCATGTTTTAAGCAGGACTCCAGATCTCAAAGACGCTGAAAATATTCAGGTTTCAAGTAGAGTATTATCATATTAGGATTTAATTAAATGAAAAGACATTGAAGCTTATACATTTGGGAAAAATATAGTATTTTTCTCTTTATTTGGCCACAGGATTCAGTGACACTACAATTAGAATAATATACGGGCATGAAGGGTGCAACAGATGAGAGAGATTTAAGACCTGGATAGTCTCGTGAAAGAAGCCAGCAATGCGACCAGGTGTGGCTGATTCAATAAGGTTGGCAAGATCGTTGGCGTAGAGCTTGCCATCGGCACCGAAAGGACCTCTATAAGGGTCGGGGTTCATTACATGGTGTACTCCAAAGCCCTGCACCGGATTCAACATGGTGTCGTTCACTTCTGAAACTATTCAACGCAACATAATGCAATGACTACTTTCGAGATGTAGCATGACAAATGTTTGCCAAACCAGACATGTCAATCAAAAGGAAGATTATTGAATTAGATAGATAAGTCAAGGCTGTAGTCAGAACGTAAGAAATGTTATTAATGCTCATGCTTGACACACAACTTTAACAATTGCTGATGGTATTGAGTTCAACAAAAAATCTTAATGCGAACCTACCTGGGCCACGTTGTATTTCCAGGTGCTGTGCGCTGTGAGACCCATGGTAGAGGGGCTCATGCCGTGATAAGCATTTCGAAGAGAAACAATGTCGAAGGTTCCCGTGTACAGGCGAGCCATCATCATGGCCATGTCGTTCGCCTCAGATCCAGAGTTGACAAAGTAAACAACCTGCTCCAATAACCAGAAAGAAAATCAAAACCAACACAATCTCACCAGCACAGTGTAAACTAGGAAGGAAACACTCAAAGTAATTTTGCACTGCATTCCAATTAATGACAATCATTCAACTCAGTCCACTGGTGTAAAATGTAAAATTCGCCAGATACTGTGAAAATTAGTTATAGCTGATGGAGCACCAAGAAAGAATTTGCGCTTGCAGCACGATATTTGTACCTTGAGATTGCCAGGCATGCGCTGAGCAAGAGCTTCCGCATAATTGGCAATGGCATGGTGGAGGTAGATGGTAGTTGTGTGCTGTAGCAATTTGGTCTGCTTCACGACCGCATCTACCACTGTGGGGTGACCATGGCCTACAGACACTGTCACAATGCCTGCGAAGGCGTCCAAGTAGCGCCGACCACTCTCATCAAACAGGTACTGCATCTTTCCTTCCACAATATTCAGCTGCAATGCCACGTCAATGGTGCTTCTACCATCAGTATAAACTCTGATCAGAGCCGGACCGTCTCTCTCCCACAAGAGGCTACCCCTGCAGAAACCTAATTTGCAGCACCTGAAACACCATTTATACAAAATGAAGTAACGCATTGCATTATTCAAGAGAGTGTCTAAACCTACATGCTTCTTGTAGTATAAGAAGAGGGCGGGGTTGAGAAACTTCTTCCGCTTTGCCAGAATCTCGTCGGCCTTGGGCCCATCGTAAGGCTGGGGCGTGTAATCAAAGGCAGGCATCTGGGGCACTCCCGCCTCGGGACGCACCTCCTTACTGGCATCTGCAGCCAAGCTCAAACCTCTGCGGCACGAAGCCAACGCCTGCAATCTAGGTAGCAACAGCCTCCTACCTCCAGCAATCGCACCCCCTGCCATCTTCACTGATCCCCACAAATACCACCACCCCACAACCTCAAAGCCCCCGTCACTACCTTCCCTATCTCAAAACCCACACGTCTCCAGTTACGAGGATGGCAATCTGCCGCATCCACTACACACACACACACACGGCCTCTCAACACTCCACACTACAATTGACCACTAGCAGATGATGACACCCAAGCAAGATCCAACACTCCTCTAGAAAACCCACCAATGCAACACTATCAAACTCCACAACAAGATACCCTCCACCGCACACGATCTCACACATACAAAACAGTAATCCTATATCCTACAGCTATATCCTACGGGCTCTCCTCACACCCACAAACCAAAGATCCCACCCTTCTACCTCAAAAACAACATGAACTCCCCACTAATAGTGCTGAACCCGCAACCGAGCCGAATCAACCCAAAACGAATCCAAACCCAGCTCCGTCGACACTCAAAAAACCACGAGCAGCTCAGCACGGCACAGAACAGAGCCAGCAGAAACGCGTCAGCGGTCGCGTGTAATCAACATAGCAGGGTGAATTGTGCCACTAGGGTGTAGATGAGATCACGAGAGCCGTGAAGACATAGCCATGCACATGATCTGGACGAGAGCTTGAGCTGGGACGGTGAGCAAACAAGCGCATGGAGGCTGGCAAGGGCGCCGACGTGGAGCTGAGTCAAGATGCTAGTCCAATTAAATGTCTAATTAGTGCGTCGGGTTCTAATGCATCATAGATCTCCCCTCACTCCCTCCCTGTATTATTAGTTTGTGAGAGGCTCTCACTCTCTCTCTCTGTGTAAATGTGTGAGTTTCCATACTTGAAATGCGTTTCGCTTCTGTAATGGTACTTTGGTTTCGCTCAAGGTGAATGTTTTGATGTTGTTGGTACTTCGTCGATTTTGGATTGTTTTGAATGTGACGTACGTTGAGTTAAATTTTATGAAGAATCTCTTTAGAATTAAAAATAGAAGCCATTGTTTGAGTTTTTTGAATCAGTTCTCGTCTCGTGCTTATGCTTTGTTCTGTTTTGATTTCATTTATTTATTAACAGAATGGTTTACTGTGAATTTATCATTAGTTGAAGGAAATAATGCTTTGGGATTTTGAAATAATTAAGTCCAATAATGAATATCTTTAAAAATTAACACAACAATATCTAGTTTTAAAGACAGATTCAAGTTCCTGCAATATAGTGAAAAGCAGGCCAATATTCACACAATACCAGTCAGTTTAGATTAGTAGATACTCAAATTTAGGCTTTGTATGTTCCAATGAATGTTTTGCAGAGGCGCTTAAATTTCAAAGCTCAGATTGTAGCTCCATTGTAGCCACTCGGAGGCTGATAGGCAAGTTCTTCAAAGGTTTTCTTAGTTGCCAAACCATTGTACAAAAGTGACCTAAATTATAAGGCAAAGGAACCAATTACTCTAGTTCCCAGAATGATGCTATGGCAAAAATATTAAAGGTAGAATATTGTGTACCCAACTACAAATCATGCATAGTATTCTGCTGCAAACTGTAGGATGGCTCAGTCAGCAGGCAAATCTAAGTAGCTGGTTGCGGAAATAAGCGAGGGGATGAGTTGGAACAACACTTGTTTAATGGCCACGACGTAACACCCTAAGAAATTCATCACGTCCTAGGAAACAGACATTCAGCCAAGAATTGCAGAGTTGATCACATATTTTCAATATCCAAAATCCAGATGCCTGAAATGGCTTGATCAAAAAAATTGGCATCAAGGCCGTAATTGCACATCCTTTAGTAAGAGCCTTACTCTCCACACAGTCATCACCAACGGATGTTTTAAGCAAAACCCTACCTATCCCCTTGGATTTGATCTCTGTCGCGCAATAAAAAAAAAGGGAGCACTGGATGTCTACCAAAGGTTTTATCCTCACGTTGGAATTGAAAATTTGAAACTAATAAACAGAGCACGTATGGTGATACAAATCGTACTGAAAAGCCGCATCGGTTGAATCCATCCTTCAGGAATCGAATTAAATCGAGGCTTCACTGCTGCGGCGGCGGTTGCTGCGGAGGCATACCTGGGCGAGGTCCGTACATACCAGGGGGTGCACCAGGAGGAGGCATACCAGGTCTTGGAGGTCCCTGCATGCCAGGAGGCATTCCAGGTCGAGGAGGACCGCCAGGGCCTCCCATACCTGGAGGAGGGCCGCGCATCATCGGGGGAGGACCCATGGGTCGCTGTCCATAAGGACCTGGAATGCCTGGTCCAGACATCTGCGGAGGAGGACCAGGAGGAGGCGGCATTGGCCTTCCACCAGGAGGACCTTGTCCATACCCTTGAGGAGGTGCTTGTCCAGGGGGACCTTGCATCATCTGACCAGGAGGGCCAGGAGGGCGCATGCCAGGAGGTGGCGCTCCTGGCGGCCCCGGCATTGGACGAGGAGCATATTGCCCTGGAGGTGGAGGACCTGGGGGCCTCACTCCGGGAATGGGAGCAGGAGGGGGTGTGTACGTGATAGGAGCTGCTGAGACTTGAGGTCTCGGCTGCATCATACCAGGGGCAGGTCCACCAACCCCTCTTGCAGGCCCAGCAAGTCCTGGCTGAGCTTGGTTCAGAGGAGCAGTGGGGATTCCACGTCCTGCAGCCCGGCCGACTCCAGGACCTCCAGCAACAGCTGCAGCTGCTTTAGCTCTAGATTCGTCAGGTGGTGGAGGGCCCTCCACTGTCATCGAAATCACCTCCTCTCCACGGAGAAGTAGCAACCCTAAGGTCCTTCTCTCTTCCTTCTCCTCCTGACTTTTCCCTTTCTTTGGTGGCACACGACGTAGCTCCTCACAATCACCAAGTACCAAATTCATATGCCGATCAAATGCCATAAACTTTCCAACCAATTGTCTCCCATCTTGGATCGTGACCCGAATCCGCCAATTTATATATAGTAACAGCTTGGAAGTCTTGGACATCGACATCTTGCCCAATTTTTTTCAACTTCGTCTCACCTGCTTCTCCCTCAACACACTTCCTTTGTCGCTCCTCCAAAATAGATAACCGCAACTTCAATCCCCAAACCCTTCCGCTGCAAACAGTAGAAGACCTCAAAACCCTAATAAACGGTTCCTCCAATACACTCAACCAATCACTGAAAACTATAAACACGGGTACACCACCATAGAATGAAAATCTCAACGATAAAGAAGTATACCTTGAGAAACAAACATGTTTGCAAAGACCGCACTATAACACGCCCTAAAATCTCATCCTTCAAGCACAGGCATACACTCTTTCACGAATAAGCACACACACCTTTAAAACACAAGCATGTATTCCTTCACGCTCGAGCTGAATTTAAATACATTCAAAACCTAACCAAAAAAACGCAGGGTCCATTCCACAGCCAAGAGAGGCAACAAGGAGAGCATTACCTCGTGGTGATGCAGGGGAGGTGTCGCTGCGTCGATCAAATCGACCACATCCCTAGAAAAATGAGAGCGACGCAGAATGGTAAGCCGAGGATGCCAGATTGCAAGCCATCGGATGGATGGATAAATTTGTGGATGGATGGATGAGATAATGTATAACGAATGATTTTCCACCTCTATTCTCAAGCTTGAATGCCCTCTTGAACACTTAAACTAGAATTCGACGGAGATGCAGCTCGGAGATGGTCGAAGAGAGGATTGGCCTCTTGGCATTGATAATCAATGGATTCAGCCATGGCCTCTTCTCGGCTGAACATCATCCCTGCTGTGAGAGACTTCAGTGAGTGTGTGTCACAAAATCGAGACTAGGTTTGGTACGATCGTTGGCGAGTGGACCTAATAGTCAGTTTCTGAAATCAGTGGCTGCATTGATCAAAACTGTGCGATGTCTCGACGTCCATTAGTTAAGTTGTCTTTCGATTCATTTGTGCAGTAGCCCATTCGAAACACTTCCCAGATCTGTAGTCTAGTGTCATCTGTTGTCCTCGACGCCCGTTGTCTGTCTACAATGACAACGTAGAGCGCGGCCATTTTTTGTAAACTTCAGAGAATCAAAAAACTTGTAAAATCATTCGTCGGGTCTGTGGAAAAGGTTGTGGACATGGAATCCGCTGATTCTTGTAAACGGCGCAACGAGCTCTGGTTACTAACTATAACTCATGTTCCATAATCAACTCACAACGCAGTCAATGTAAAACTCGTACAATCTTTTCTGCTTCATAACTTACATAATATTGTAATACTCATTTGAATTGCTGCTACACAAATTTCAGTCTAGAGCACAATCAAATAAACACCATATTTTGTTCAAAAACAAGAACGAGATAGGTTTTTGTTGATACATTCATATTGTTATCCTTGGATAAATATTTAGTAGTTTTCAATACCATGATTGAGGAACTAAGTTTAAGTTCTAAAGTATTATTTTTTGTAGTTAGAATACAACAAATAGTAGGATATATATATATATATATATATATATTTGATAGTGTTTTTATATTTTATTAAAGAAAGATATTTATTCTTTATAATACAATGAATAAATACATCAATCATAAAATATTATATTCTAAAATATGATCACAAGCATAAAATATGATACAATGGTTTTTCTTTAGAATGTAGACTTTTGTTGTTTTATGTTAAAGTAAAATGCCAAATCTTACTTACGATGTTAATTCTATTAATCATATATTATATTGTATATGATTGAGGTTGTGGATATTAAATTATTATTTTTTAAATGATAAAGTTTATTAGTTGAAGAATTTGTAAAAAGTTTTATAATTCAATAACATTTAGAAATGTGAATAAAATTTATAATTCTAATATTTAATTTCTTTTATATGTAATATAATCATATTTTAATGTATTATATATATATATATATATATATATATATATATATAATCATTGACTAAATCTAAGTCCTCAAAATTAAACATAATATTTTTTATTTTTATTTTTTATTTAATGTTTTTCAGAATTATTCCTATAATTAATTTAGAACCATTAATCAAAAAAATCAGAATTAAAAATAAGTAAGATTAACGTCTCAATTAAATAAGTAATTTTGAATCTAATACTTAAGATGCCTACGAATTTTAGACTCCACTTTATATTATTAGGATACATCTATTTTTGTAAAAACTGACTTAGAATAATTTTAATTTATTTTAAGTTAAGCTAGAATAAGAATTGAGTTTTTATAAGTATGTGATAAAATATGAAATTAAAAATAAAAAAAGAATAATTTTCAATTGATTCATTAATATTTTTTTTAGACTATGTACTTGATTATATGATAAACTTGTAATGAAAAAAAAATCCTAAACACAGTAAATGATGAGAAGTGTTAAATAGATCCAAGTTTTTACTAAATTGATCCACCTATCTTAACCATCATAAAAATAAAAATAAATGACCTCTAGATTCATTTCTCCACTATTGAATTTGCAACCAATGAAAACCAATTTCATTCATCATAATTACCATATTCTTTATCAAGGGTGGTCCATTTAGTAAAAGCATAGATCTATTTAACATTCCTAAATTAATTATAAATATGCATTTATCTTAGAAAAATAAAATAATATTTAATTTTAATATGTAACACAAATTATTTATTTTTGAGCTAGTATATATTCTTATATTAGATCCAATTAGCTTATTGCAATCTATTTAGATTCTTTTTAGTTTCCTTATTTTTGTTATTAGATTTTATTTTTATTATATCACAATCTTTTTAATAGTGTGTGCTATTTATATTTTTGTATTTGCAAAGTATAATGGTATTGAATATTATATTTTAATATAATAGAATATGCTTCTTTGTTTGAAGAGGATAATACCTATGTGTATTACTTTTCTTATATTTACCAAACCAAAGACTTTGATAAAATGTATTTTTTTTAATCTATTAAAGTCTTTTAGCTACTACTCTTATTTTTTGTTGGTTGTTTATGCTTTCATCATTTACTCTTAAAAATCTACCTTGTTATCATATCAATAATATTAACCAAATAATTATATAATTTATATATTTGATTTTTTAAAAAAAATATTTTTCAAATTCTATTGCCAAAATCAAACATATATTATGATGGTTAATATATGTTTGATTTTGGCTGCTATAAAGTTAGTAAACATGTATTTGTATGCTAACAATCCTAAAAAAAGATTATAAGAGATTGTAGATTGAATATAATTGTATAATATTTAAAAAATGTTATAAGATTTTAAGATTTTGTAAGTAACATAATGAATAAATTTATTTTAGTGTAATAATAATTAAAGCTCTCAGTTGTTTGAAGATTAAGTTGTTTAAAGTTATATATATATATATATGTGTGTGTGTGTGTGAATTTATGTTATATCTTTTAATACATAATAACTATTAAATAGAAGTTAAATTATGGTTTTGGTTCAAAAATATAAATAAGATTTGTTTTTTTGCTTATACATGTATAGTATTTTCATTGTTGATCAATATCATTTGTTACAAAAAAAAAATATTAATCATTAGAGGTTATTAATCATTAAATATGGCATGTTCAAGGCATGATGGAAACTATCCTTACCAAGGTTCTAGAATCTAGGGCCACATGGCCTCTATTAATTACCTATTTTAGTTAATAAATTCAATAAAATAGATAAATTATTAGAATTTAGAAGTTATTAATCATGCACTATAGACTGGAGTTGAATTCCAATATTTTGTTTAATTATTAGAGATTATTAGTTTTTAGAAGATTAATTAAGAGGAAAAACAGTGTAGATTTCTTTTGGAGTACATTTTTGCCATTGATATCTAAAGACACGTACTCAATAGTTCTTGATACCTTGATACAAGTTTGAAGATAGTTCTAAAAAGATCCTAAACATTATCATGTATAAAACATGCATAAATCATCCATCTTGTAAAAATAGTAGTGATGATGATAGAAACAAAGATTCAGTTTATAAATTTACAATCAAGTATGACATGGAGGCATTTTGACATAAACTGCATATTCATTTATTTGTTTATTTCCATCAGTGGAGCTATGGAGCTTCTTCAGATCATACTTGAATCATAAGAATTTCGAATATAGACACAAAAGAATTAATATGATAAAATAAAATAAAATACCAAAGAAAATATTAGTAATTTTTTTAAATAATTGAAATCAGTTTTTACTTTTTCAATGTATAATAAACGCATGAATAATAATAATAATAATACTAATCAAGTTGGCATTTTAAAATTTCATAATTGAATGAGTTTATACAAGTGAATCTAAAAAAAAAGCAATATTTATTTCTCAAAATTCATGAACCTATCCACCCCCCTCGTCTGCCATCAAGAATGCATGTGATCACACCAACTAGAAGAATACAAAAAACAAAAAAAACAAAAAACAAAACAAAAATTGTAGAATTGAAAGCAGAAGCGGAACGGTCATTCGAACTCTGCCCGACCACCGAGGCATCAACCGAGTCATCATCCGTCCTATAGCCGTAAAATCTACAACCGTGAAGCTTCATAACCGTGAAGCCCCATCGCCGTGAAGCAGCGCAGCAAGTAAGCTTTGCAGCAGTCGCCGCAACACTTCAACGCATGCAGAGCAGGTTAGCTTCAAGCGACGCCGCAGCCAGCGTCCAGATCATGCAGGCAGGAACTAGCCCCCTCTTCAGCGAGTGTGTGTTGCATCCACCGTTCCTTGTAAGCGAACAGAGGAATCCGAGGGTGAGATGCATTTGAGCATCGTGGGGGAGCTCATCATTTGTGCCTGCAAGGTATGAAAGCAGGAAAAAGAACACCACAACTTTAGCTTCATTGGGTCCGGGTGCGTCCAAAAGCCACCCGACCATGTGCCCAGTAAATGTGGGATGAAGTGTAGGATAACTTCATGAGTAAATGACTCGTTCAAAGATGGTAACCTCGCGACCAGCCCAGGTCTTTTGAGATACTTGTCGCTGATCAGGATTGCCGACGGCAACTGGTCCACGTGATAGGCTGCAGCTGTGTTTGACGCCGAGAAGCAACGTCTTTGAGTGGTCGGGCATGATGGGCATGAACCCTTTGATTTGCCACCGGTGTCGAATAATCCAACGTTAACGGCATTTGGGAGTATGGCCTTTGGGTGCTTGCTTTCCAGGTGCAGCCTGTGGGTAGGTCCTGATGATTGGAATGGCGGCGTCCCACGTCAAGAGTCAATCTAGAATGAGCAACGGTGCCACATCGAAGGTAGGTTTGGGTTCTTTGTTATTGTACAATGATGCATTCAAAGTGGGAGAATCCAATACCCTATATTTGAGCGTGCTGGGGCATTGCAATACTCTCACATCTCGTTTGAAACGACTTGGCGACAGGATTTAGAATCCGAGGATGAGAAGGACCATAACGGGGTCCGGACAAGATTGTTTGAAAGGCTTATGATCGTTAGACGAGGACTTTAGTAATATCATTTCAGTTGCAGGATGCAATGAGCAATCTGTTTGACACGAAAATGCGAATCGGGAATCGCAAAAGGCGAGTCGGCGAGTAGAAGAATTCGCAAAGATAGGGAGAGATGTCGGTGTCAGATGCGCAGGTAGTGCGGTAGAGTTAGACCTTTGCGCAAAATCAGTTTTGCAGAGAAGGTATCTGCGGGGAGCGACAAGCAGGCCACAGGTTGCGAGTGGTCGCATTCAACAATGAAACATCTAATGTCCACAATTCCCACGGGATCCCAATTTTCAAGTCGATGTGAATCATCTCCGCCTGCGACCACCGAGGGACGCGCGCTGTGGGGCCCAGTAGTACAAAGGTCTACGCATTCAGGAAATCACTCGAGATTTCGCGGTTTAGAAAATCGATCAAACTGTGACGCCTACAGCCATACTAGCAAGCTCTGCGATCTGACCTCATGTCATGTGGGTGGCTTCAATGCTGTCAACGGGGCACGAATGTCGACTGCGGAGCTCCATTCCCAATGGTCGCACCAGGACGGAGACGTGCCTTTGGTCGACCTGCACAATGCAGCCCAGCTGGGCGAGGACTCCCTCCGCGAGACGTCGTTTTCTAGTTCCATATTGCATGACGAGGTTCGCGAGGAAACGCACTCGTCGCTACTTTTTCCCGAAGAGTCACATCATGTGGTGGTCCCTAATGGTGACCATTGTGGTGATCGCTCGGCGTCGGAGTCTGGATTTAGAGATTCGGGGTCCAACATGATTAGAGGGGACGTTGACCACCACGTACCGGAGATGGAGATTTCATGGGGAGCCACTGAAGATGACAAAGACAATTACTGCCTTGATTTGTGGGACATTGTTGGTGATGACATAGTCGCTCAGCAAAAGCAGAACGGCAGAGTAGACGATGAGGGTGACAATGCGGAGCGTGGCAATGAGATTCTGAAGATCGCGTTTATCTCGAATGAGTGCAAGACGGAGATGGAGTTCTGTGCCGGAGATGGGCTGAACGTAAACATGGATCTTACAACTGCAGTGCTGCGATCGTCAGGCCTAGAGGGCGGCCAAGAAGAGCTGGCCGAACTAGGGAAGCATATTGTGCACTCGCTGTTGAGGTTGAATTATGATGATGTGTTGGCCGCTTGGTGCCACGACCGCAGCCTTTGGACCGACGGCAAACGACTGCAAACAGTGCCCGAGCACTTCACCTTTGACGACACCGCTGTGGTACGATCGATCATTCCCTGTTTTTGTAACTATTATTGATCTGTCGGAGTTGCAAAGGCATTCTTTGTTCCAAATTTGGCGATGACTCAAATCTGGGTACTTCAGGATGACTTCAGCCTCGTTCCAAAACCGGTTACTAGCCATCCAAGGAAAAGAGCTGATTCTAGTGAAAGCAGAGACCGGGATGCTTCAGTGATGCGCTACAGAGAGAAGAAACGGTCTCGTGTCTCCTCCAACAAGGTCCGGTATCAGGTTCGCAAGTTCAACGCCGAGTGCCGGCCTCGCTTGAAGGTCAGATAATCATGCCAAGCCTCACTCGTTATAATCGCTCCTTTTTCTCTCAATGGAATCTAAGATCCTTCTTGTGTTTCTTTCTCTTCAGGGTCGGTTTGCGAAGAGAACATATCACACAGCGATGACGCAGTGATGGCGGAGGTCGACCCACATGCCAGGTTCCTCTGGTTCTGCTCGGAGCTCGTGAAATCATTCACACACTTACACACACACACATGAACAGACACACGCAAACTTGAAATAATCAGTACATACAGAAACAATGGCAAACTTGTACATAATGTAGCGAGTGCTGGAGACACGATCAGTTCATCGATGCACTGGATGTTTCGCATCTGCTCATCAAAATGCCTTTTTTCTTCGCAGATGGTGTAGCAAATTCGTGAAGCAAGTTCCTGTCTTAGGGTGCAATTCCAAAGCGCCATAACCAGTAACATCTTTTGCTACAATGAAAGAAAGGATCCTTTATCATCAATGTAATTAAGAAGTATCTTGAATAAAGGTCTGAACAATAAGAACAGGATGCTTCCAGTGATTGTCTTTCTTGAAAAGTACGTTTTTGGTATTTTTATAACAATGTGTTTGGTGAAATGCTTGTTCCGTTCATATTATGTTTTCTATAGAGCAGCTCAGTGATGTATCTTTTGTTCTTTTTCTTTTTGAAAATAAAAATGAAATGAAATTACTTACCATATTAGATATAATTCAATACAGAATCATGAAAGAACAATATGGCTTGTTTGAGGTGATGTTATGAGATGTTTGGTATGATGGATGCATTGCTCATCATATTATGGGATGAAAATTGATATTCCTTCATATATATAAAAGTTTAATGGCTTCTTACCTATTTACGAAAAACTCAATAAGTCTTTCAAAAAATGATGAAATTAAAGTAGAATTGTGTAGATGTTCAATTCAATTCCTCAAAAATTAAGGTTCTATCCTATAAAAAATAATGATAGATAAAAATGCTCGAATATTCGTGTTTCAGAAATCAAATACTTATCGAAATACCCAAAAAAAAACTTATTCGTGAGGTGGAATAATAAATCAATAATTTTTGTATTTTTGCTCTTCACTTTCATCTCATAACATATGTGGATTTAATTTTTACTTCTATTGTCTTCATAAATGAATATTTATCATTATTACAATCAAATTTATTAACATAAGATTAAAAAGTTCTTAACTGTGTATCTGATTTTAATTTTTTGATTTTTTTCGTAATCATTTGTGCATGAAATCGTATTCCACAGATATAAGAAACATATTAGCACCATCTCACACAATGAATTCTAAAAAATAAGAAAATAATGAAGAAAGTTACTCAATATGCAAGTATATTTTGTACAAAAAATAATAAAATACCCAGCAAAAGAAATCGGCACAACAATTGTTTTTATGTAATATATTTGGTCACATAAAGGAGTATATTGCTTCCAGATTCCACAATTCACTCCACTTTATTCAACACTTTTTCTTTTGATTTTGTTTTTGGTTCAAACCTTCTTTATCTCCAGAAAATTATAACATCATTGTATGAAAAATATCACAAATACTGTTGGATATGTTTCAGGATACACAAGTTTGACATCCAAACAAGTAAATAAATAAACATATCAGGATTTCAACATTCTGAAATGCACCATCAGCATATCGAAAACTCCCACAAGTTCAGTTCGCACAGCCATTCAAAGTTTAGAACATAAAATAAATGAATAACCAAACAAACAAAACTAAATAAATCGAGCCATCCACTGCAATTCGGTCCATCGAGGACCCTGAAGGTGAACTCCTTCTCGTTTGATGAGCGGATTCCGTCACCAAGTCGTGGTGATGGGGTTTCAAGGGAGGCAACGAGGACTCTCCTCCATCGCTGCACAAATCAACACATCCGCATTTCAAAACTGAGCAGAGCCATGCATCGCCACCCCTTCAAGCAGCGCTGAATCCTTCTCAACCCAGCTCAGCTCGGCTCAGCTCAACTCAACTCAAAGTATCCCGTCAATTTGCAATCCAAAGTCGAGAGCAACCTCGATGGAGATCAACGCACACGCATACTGACCTTCGTTCCTTCTTTCTTTGCTTCCTAAACTCAACACCCAGCTCTCAATTCCGCAACAAAAATGACATCGCAAGCAGTTCCACACACACACACTCTGCACTCACTCCCCTCCTTCCTTCACACCACCTCCACCACACAACACCCAGACAGTGAGTGAGTGAGTGAGTGAGGGAGTTTTATTCTTGTTGTTGTTATTGTTATATTATTGTATACTTTATTGTATACTGTTGTGAAATTATGTTGTGAAAAATACTCATTAACCCGAGGCTCCACGACAATGCACAAATCAACACCACCGCATGCTAATCGCACCTCCAAAACCTTCAACGAGTAACACAGATTCAGGTATGCTCTTCCAAGAAGCTCCAAATGCAATGTACCACAACTCATTGCACCATACCAGAAACGCTCCAGAACAACAATTCCTAATGAATTCATGGTGGGTTCAGACGATAAAATTTGGGAAGAAACAATTGAATGATAGTAGCTGAAACTGGTATCCTCGCTCCGTGTAACATAGCAGTCAACCGCAAGTTCAACAGATTTATACCGGGGCCACCTGATGTTTAAACCAAAAACCACTGCTAATCATTTTTTTGAAATCATGAGTATCTCAAGGATGGCCGTGCATACCAACCCTCAGATTGTGTGTTACAAAGCTGCCCTCTACGACCTTCGTCGGGGTATGGATAGATTAAGACCCTGGTCGCACACTTGCGTCTCTGAGAGCCATCTGACAGCACATTATGCACACACCCTTGCTTAGACAGCAATCCACTCGTGGTTGACGGAAATCCTGTGGGTTGTGCCAAAACAAAGTTTGTGGAGTGCAAGGCCATCCCATGCACTAGTCATATATTTGAATTACTGGTGATTCTGTATTGCAATTTATTGCACGAATACAGTACGTTGAATTGGATGAATCGTCCAGTGGGAATGCACACAACGACTATTGTGGCAGAAAGACATACCTGAAACACACCAAAACCACACCAAGCATTCCAAAAAAGTATCAAATTCTAATGGACTTGTGCGTATCAAACTCGTACAGGCTAATCAGTTCTGTGAATCATGGCTCGAAGTTGGCCCGGTGCGGCTCCGCTTGTAAGAAGCTCGGTTTCGCCTTCCAACTCTGAAGGACGTAAACCCTGTCCAAGAGTTGGAAAGATCGTGGACAGAATTTGAATGAGTAATCGTTTTTGCTGTTCATATTGTTGGCGATGAAAAGTAGAAAGTTGAATTTCCAGCTGCTGCTTTTCGAGTTGTAGAGTCTGTTGCTGGCTTGTCAACAACGAATTTTCAGATTTCAACTGCTGCTTTTCGAGTTGTAGAGTCTGTTGCTGGCTTGACAACAACGAATTTTCAGATTTCAACTGCTGATTTTCGAGTTGCAACTCTTTCACTTGAATTTGAAGGCTCAAATTGTCACCAACCATGTTAATTGGTGAGTCGTTTGCCTGATTCTCTTGCAAGGGTCGTGCCTGCTCACGTTCCGATGGTTGTCCATCAGTTGCTCCAGTTTCACATGCAGCAATGTTGGTTGCAGCTCTGGGTTGTGAGCTCGTGCTGTACTCAGGCTGAGTGAAGTTAGAGCTACCTCCACCTACGCTACAACTGAGTGTGTCAAGTGACATCTCTTCCAGTGGGTCATGTGATATATTTTCCAGACATTCTGGTGGTAGTTCTATATTTGTTGTATTGCCAGGAGCTGCCTCTTGTACCAAGTCCCCAACCTAGATTCCTTCCTGGGACTGTCGTGCTTCCTCAGCTCGTACCCCATTTCTACCACTCGGGACATTTCCTATTGCATCGGGAGCAGACCGTCCATCACGAGGTTCAACAAGTGCACAAAATTCACAATAAATCTCATCGAATCTTGTTGGAGCTTCCAACTGTTCTTTGAAATTTGAAAGAACATACCGCACATAGCACTTGACCGGATTCTTGTCCTGCACCGGACCGAGGCGCTGCTCTACCTCGGGCAAGGTTGGAATACGATAAGTGGATCCTTCTCGCAGAGGTATCTCCCCTGAATAACCCTCCTTGCCATCCCAGAAGGAAAGTATCCGATATGCCAAAACCGCATCCTCTTTCTTTTCATAAGAGCCAACAGAGATGTATTTCTTGGAACCCGTTGGTTTCATTCTGGGCTCAAAGTACACCTTGTCCTTTCGGTTTTTTCGGCGGCGCACTCCTTTGCTTGAATCAAGAGCTACGTCTCTAAACTTGATCCATATGTAGGAACCCAGGAACAACACAATGGCGGCAGCCCAGGAAAGACACATCCGAATCACTCAACTGCGAGAAGACCTACCAATCGAACGAGACTGACGAGGAAGACTAACAAGTGCCAGAGACGTCAGCCAAACACACACACAATAGCAAACCCTGTATAAGGAGAGAGGGTCTTTTGAAGGAGCAAAAGATGGGAACTTGGGGGGTGGGGTGAAAGTGGGGAATCTAGTGTGGGACTGATTTTCAACGACCACCTCCAGAAACGCCCTTCCACCCCTCCCGTCCACCCCCTGCCACATCAACTTCGGAGGAACTTCTCGAACAATTATTCTTGTTGTTATTATTAGTATTAAATTCTTGCGTTGATATCCGTCATGCGTCATTGCTTTTTCCGGCTAATTCTCGTAAACATTTCTTCATAACTTATGAGCCTGTCACACAGTCGAAGGATAAGTTTAAAGAACTCAGTAAATCTTTGAAATAATTGTTAAGTAGCATTCATTTACAAAGTCATTCACATGCTAAAAGATCAAGTTGATATTCTTTTAAAAAATAATGACAGAAAAACATGTTAAAATATTCGTGTTTCAGAACTCAGTTACTCATTGAAATTCCCAGAAACAAAATTTATTTATTGAAGTGGAATAATAATTGAAGAAATTTTATATTTTTGCTCTTGATTTTTGTTTGTATACATGTGTGAACTTTTTTTTTATTACTGTCTTCATTAATGAATATTCATCGTTACTAATATCAATTTTATTAACTTGACCTTAAAAAGTTCTTAACTGTGTATCTGATATATGTTTATTTTTATTTTTTTTCTTAATTATTTGTAAATTAAAATCGCATTCCACAGATATAAGATACATATTAGCACCATCTCACAAAATGGATCTTTTAATTTTAAAAAGTAACTAATCATAAAAGTTACTCAATGTGCAAATATACTTTTTACTAAAAAGCATTGAAAACCCCACCAAAACTATTGAGATCATTAAATGTAGTTGGCACTCTCCATAATATTTACTGTAGACTACAGTAATTACCATAGTTACAGTATTTAGAGTCTAGTAGAGAAGTATTGTTTATCCTCTCCTCTTTTCTCTTCTTGTATATGAGATACAACCAGATTAATAGAAGTGTGTGTAAAAAACTCTCTCTCCTTAGAAACCCTCTTGTGTGTATGACTTACTACTACTCTTGTGTGTGTGTATGACTTACTATTACTCTTGTGTCTTTCTAAGTGTCTACGTCATGATCTTGTTTCTCTTGCTGGCCCCTCACACATTAGCTGCTTGCTTAGAGCACTTGTTCCACTCCCTACCTTGCTTGCTCTGAATACTTGATCCAGCCCAACTCCACCCTTTGCTTGCTCCTTGCTCCTTGCTGCGTCCCGCGCCTGCCGCCGAACTACTGCCGAACAGAAGCCGAACAACCATCGAAGTGCCGCCAAATCCGCCGCTGCCACCCTGTCGCCGTTGACGTTGCCGCCCGCCGCCACCACTGCTGCTGCTGCTGCCCTATCGCTGCCTGCTGCCGCCATCTTATTGCTGTTCTGCTGCCTTAATCTACAACTCTCTCTTTAAAAAATATATATATATATATATATATATTTTCAAGTTCAAGTTTATCATTTTATTTGACTTTATATTTTAAGGTACGTTTTATTCAACTTTTCTACTTGATCTTGTATTTTCTTTACAGATTTATTTATAATGAGTGCTTCAACATCTTCAACTGCTTCTACTATGATTCCAACTATTACCAGTGCATCCCAACATTTTCAAGCTCTTTTATTTCCAACATTGATTGTGGATGGAAACAATTATCTATTATGGATAAAAATGGCAAAAACAAATTTATTTGGAGAAAAACTCTCGGATGCCATTATGTTTGAAGAATCTCCTACAATAAGTATTTCTATATCTCCTGCTATTTGTTGGAAAGCACTTCTTCTCCTTCGTCGTCATCTTGTATCTACATTACAACATCAATAATTAGAAATAGAAGATCCTGTAGAACTTTGGAAGAATCTTAAATCTAGGTTTGATCATCAAAAGATCATTTTTCTTCCACGTGCACATCATAATTAGACACATTTACATGTCTTAGATTTTCCAAATTTAAATGCTTTCAATAGTAAAATGTATAGTATTGTCTCTTAATTACGATTATGTAGACAAAGCATTTCTGAAGAAGAAATGATTGAGAAAACTCTCTCTACATTTCCTCTTGTATTTGTTGTACTTGCACAACAATATAGGAATATGAAATTTCAGAGTCATTTTGATCTCATGTCCTATCTACTTCTTACGGAGAAGCAAAATGAGCTACTCTTGCGCAATGCGGAAGCTCATCCTATTGGAACTACAGTTCCAAAATCTTATGCACTTAATATTTCAAAGTCTAAGAAGAAATTATATAAACATGGAAAACATGCTCATAAGTATCAGGGTAGTCATAGTCAAGACCATTTCTACCCATATGGAAAGAATAAACGTTCTACTATTAATTATAATAGAAAACAAAAATCAAAGATGCGTTCTTGCCATAAGTGTGGAATGATTGGACATTTAGTACATGCGTGTCGTACTTCAGAATATTTTATTAAAATGTTCCAAGAAAATAAGAAATTACGAGCTGAGGCTCATGAAGTTCATACCATGGATGCGTCTATGGATTCAATTGGTGTTGATGACTTAGAGGCTTATATGAATGTTAGGGACATATTCCTTAGAACTTTCTAAAGAGAAGTTTCTAGAACCTTCTAGAAAACAAGCCTCTGGAACCTTCTAGAAGAGAAGCCTCTGGAACCTTTTAGGGAGAAGTTTCTAGAAGCTTCTAGAAAGGAAGTCTCTGGAACCTTCTAGAAGAGAAGTTTCTAGAAGCTTCTAGAAAGGAATCCCCTGGAACTTTCTAGAAGCTTCCTAGTTAATAGAAGTAGCTCGAGAAGTTTCTAGAACCTTTTAGAAAGGAAGCCTCTAGAACCTTCTAGAAGCTTCCTAGTTAATAGAAGTAGCTCGAGAAGCTTCCTAAGTAGGAGTATATATAGGGATCGAGGCTGAAGAGTTCTTCAGTCTCGACAACACATCTCTTGGAGTTCTAGCTCACCTTTCTAGTGTTGTTCTTGTACTCATCTGTTTAATCTAGTTCTGCCACTTCTTCTTGAACTTCTTGTTAGATTTTAAGTCTGTATTTTGTGTCCGTGACAGTTTGTCGACACTACACTAACTTGAGATATCAGAGCTAGTTCTTTCTTAGTAGAGTGTGGATTATCCCTCTACTTGAAGGTATACTAGCATTTTTTAGAGGTTGCGGATTACCCTCCTCTAAACTGATACTTCTTCTGTTACAATATTGGAGTCTTATTCTTCTTGGAGAGAGTGGATTACCCCTCTTCTTGAAATTCTTAAGGCGTTTTATAGGTTGTGGATTACCCTCCTATAAACCAATATTGCCTCTTATAGGGTCATTTTTGTCCTTCTTTTAGAATGGCCGGAGGTCAAGACATTAGTATGACAGAAAGTTCGGAGTCTAAGTTAGATGCTATTATGAATGCCCTCGCTACGTTGTCACAAAGAACTGCAGAGATTGAAGGAGTGGTGGCAAGGCTTCATAATGATGGAGTATCTGGGATAGCACAATCTAAACTACACCAGCCTCAAATTTTGGCACTTGGAGAAACAACTTTACCTCAGGTTCGACAAGAACCACTAGTTCTACAACATAAGAAGCATCGAGTTAGCCTTCCAGATAAGTTTGATGGAACACGTTCCAAGTTTCGAAGATTCGTCAATCAAATCAGGTTGATAACAGTTTTACAGCCCGAATGATATCCAACGGAGGAGTCACGTGTTGGGCTTGTTGGAACCTTACTTACGGGACAAGCTCTATCATGGTTTGCTCCTTTGTTTGAGAAATGATCATCCATATTAAACAACTTCGAAACCTTTTTGGAAGCATTTGCGGAAGCATTTGGTGAACACGATAAGGTTCGATGGACTACAACAAAGATCCGGTCGCTACGACAAGGGATGCGTTCTACATCAGTCTATGCTTTGGATTTCAGGCAATTAGTATGTGACATCAATTGGAATGAAGAAGCGTTGATGAGTCAATTCTATTGGGGTTTAAGAGATGATGTGAAGGATTTGCTGTTAACTCTTCCTGATCCACGAACGCTCAATGAAGCCATTAGCCAAGCTGTGAAGTGTGATAATCGCCTATTCCAACATCGCCAAGACCAACACTCAAGACAACATACAATTCGCCATGCTCCAACTATGTCGGCAAGCGGTGTGAATTCGCATTCAGAGGTGGAAGACATGCAAATTGATGTGGTACGTATCAAATCTCTTACTATAGAAGAAAAAAAGCGACGTATGGAGGAAAATTTATGCTTGTATTGTGGTGGAGAAGGCCACAAAGTCGG